TTTCTTGATGGTATCATTTGTAGCACAAAAGTTTTTAATTAAAGTCCAAGTTGTCTATTTTTAAATTTTGTCACTAATGCTTTTGATATTCTAAGAATCCTTTGCCTAACCCAATAAACAAAGATATATTCTTATGCTTTATTTTATGGGTTTTATAGTTTTACCTCTTACATCTAGGTCTATGATCATCTTGAGTTAATTTCCATCTATGGCATGAGGAAAGTTCCAATTTCATTCTTTTAGCATGTGGATATCCTGTTTTCCTAACACCATTTTTTGAAAAGACTATTTTTTTCTCCCTTGAACTGTCTTGGCACCCATGTTGAAAATCAATTGACCGTAAATGTAAGGGTTTATTTCTGGACTCTCGATTTTATCCCATTGACCTACATATCTGATCTTATGCCAGTGCCTACTAGCCTTATAGCAGGGGAGGGTGAGTCCTTCAACTTTCTTCTTCTTTATCAAGATCGTTTTGGCTATTCTGCACCCTTTGCATTTCCATATGAATTTTAGGATTAGCTTGTCAATATCTGTAAAAGAAAAGCCAGCTTGGATTTTGAGAGGGATTGCATTAAATCTGTAGATCAGTTTGGGGAATTTTGCTATCTTAACAATATTTAGTCTTCTGATCCATGATATAGAATATCATTCCATTTATTTAGATCTTTTAAGATTTTGTAGTTTTCAGTATATGTCTTGTACTGCTTTTGTTAAAATATGCCTAAATATTTCACTTTTCAAATGCTATTGTAAATGGAATTGTTTTCTCAATTTCATTTTTGGAATGTTCTTTGCTAGCGTATAGAAATACAATTGATTTTTGTAGGTTGATCTTGTATCCTGAAACCTTGCTCAACTTGTTTATTGGTTGTAATATTTTTTAATGGATTCCTTAGGATTTTATGTATATAAGACCATATCATCTGCAAATAGAGGCATTTTAGTCCTCTTTTTCCAATTCGGAGGCCTTATATTTCATTTTCTTGCCTAATTGCCCTGGCTAGAACCTCCAGTACAATTTGAATAGGACTGGTGAGAGCAGACATCCTTGTCTTGTTCCTGATCTTAGCGGGGAAGCATCTAGACTTTGATGTTGGCTGTGGGCTCTTCACAGACGCCTTTTATCAGGTTGAGGAAGTTCCCTTCTATCCTCAGTTTGTCGAGTGTTTTTATCATGAACAAGTATTGGATTTTGTTAAATGCTTTTTGTGCATTGATTGAGATGATTGTTCTTTATTTATTAATATAGAAGTTAATCCTTGGTTTTCGAATTTCCAAAGGTAGGGCTCCTAGCTCTGGGGCTAGGAAGCAACAACTCTTTGGACAGTGGAATAGGAGTTGGAGAGGAGAGGATAATGGCAGACACTGGAGAGTGCGGGCACCCAGCCGAGCCTTGGTGTGGTGGTGGCAGAAAGCGGGCTGAGGACCTGAGAAGGGAGGGCTCCTGAGCCACATGTCCTGCATCTCCTGGGAGATGACAATCTGAAAAGAAAATGCCTCCTGCCACCCAATACATGGTGTGCCATAGGGAGCCCCAGGAAGGTAGACCTTATGAAGGTCCCTAAGTGGTTCCAATGGAGAAGACAAGGCTTTTCCCACAGGACAGGGAGAGGCATGGATGTGTCATGGAGCACACTAAGGCCACAGAGGCGGCGGAGTTGGCAGATACGGCATACATGGGCCACGCGGCCAGCAACAGATGGGACTGAAGGTGCTTCCACAGAAGCCACCGGGGAGGGAAGGCCACACCTGCATGAAGCCAGGACCAGAGGCAGTGCCAGAGAAGAGTTTAACAAACCTCTGCTGCCACCAAGTGTCGATTCTGCAGTTTATCAGCCAAGAGAGTCTTGTGGGTGACTGATTTTTTTATAGAGCAGGGGTTCTCAAAGACAGCCCTGCAGGTCAAAACTATTTTCATAGAACACTAAGATGTTATCTGCCTTTTTCACTCTCATTTTCTCACGAGTGTGCAGTGGAGTTCTCCAAAGGCTACATGGCAAGCGATATCACAACAGACAAAACAGAAGCAAGCGTGGGAACCCAACTGTCCTCCCCTTAAGCCAGACGTTAGGGAGAGTTGCAAAAAGGTAAAACAGTGCAGCTCTTCTCATTACTTATTTTTGTTTGCAAAGAATAGTTATTTTCATAAAAATGTGTTATTATGTTAACACGCAATGGGCTTATCACACTTTAAGTAAATAAATATTTTTTAAATTCTCAGTTTTAATTTCTGGTAAGTGGTATAATCTGCATAAACAAAAGTTCTTTGAGGCCCTCAGTAATTCTGAAGTGTGAAAGCTATGAGAGCCGCGGCTGTGGAACAATGGTTATTGTTATTCCTTTCTCTGTCCGCAGCAGGGCAAAAGGTCAAGGCCGAAGCTTTTCAAGCCATGATTCAGACACCAAAACTGGTGCTTGGCTTGGAATTCCGTTCTGTCTTCAGCCTTTCCTAAAAACTGAATTCCTTTCGTTTAAAGCCATTCCTTCCGCATGACGACCCGGAATCAGTGCCTAGTACTAAGCTTCCTGAGGGCAGGCTCCCTGCCACCATCATCCCAGTGCCTCACACAAGCCCCGGGCACAGAGTCAGATCCAAGATGTTTTTTTGGTTGATTGAGAGAGAGGCTATGATGTGTTGACTAAGGAAAACCCCACAGCTGTTGGCTCCAATTATTCCACAAGATTATCTCCTCCAGGAGAATCTAAGAGGAAGCAGGGGCCTTGCTGGCAGACGCCGCCCAGATACTGGCTCCCACACGAGGCTTGTCTGGCTGGAGGTTGAGTCCTCCGTCAAGCTGAGTTGCATCCTTTCTCAACCCAGGTGTTCTTGTGTGTGCATGTGGGTGGGTGTGTGCCGAAAGGGTGCCGCCGGCTGTGCAGAACCAGCCTGGAGGTGGGTAGGGCAGGGCGGGCAGAGGAAAGGCTGTTAGAGTCTGGTTGAGGTTGGCCAGCGCAGCGGGGCCAGTGGGAGTCTGAAAAGTAAGTGCCCAACATGGAACCCAGCTCTACAAAAGGATGCGTGTTTATTTTAAAAAATTATAAAAACAATATACGCTCACTGTAAAAAATTGAAACATTGTCATGGTGCATAAAGAAATCATCATCACCAAAGTAAAAATTGAAAGCTTTCCCCCAAGCTCACATCCCCAAAATAGCCCCTATTAAGCTTGGGGTGGATCCTTCCAGATTCTTTTCACTACCTATATAATTATGCATATATAAAATATACATATATAATATATATATTTTAATGAGTAACATCACACATTTTATTCTGCCACTTCATTTTTTCACTTAAGATACTGCCAACATCTTTCCATTTCAGCTTGTCTCCTTCTATGGTGGAGAGGAGCCAAGGTGATCAAGAGAAGCTGGGAGGGGTTCCGACACCCAGAGAAGGTTGTTGTTGGATGTCAGCTTCATCAGGAGCGTCCAGCAGAAGACCTCGGCTGGCCTTGTGAATACAACACTATTTCCAAACAAACTGGGCCACCAGGACCAGCCCCAGGACATTGTCTAGTTGAAGTGGACTTAAGAAACATGCTCTGAGACATGATATAGAAAAGACCTCGGGTTCGTCCAGGAGTAGACCAGATGTTAGTGGACATCTCTTCACCAGCATCCACAGGCCCTACCCAGGCCCAGTGATGCTGGGGTGGACGTGCAGACCCATCTCTCCTGTCAATAGAACCGTCTCTAGGAGCTCCTCGAGCCTGTCGCCAACACCAAGGACAGTGTCTGTACTAAATAAATGCTCAAAAATATGTGATGTCTGAAGGAATGAATGAACGCCCCATGGCTGGAGGGATGGAGAGTTCAGACTGCAACCTGTGGAGGTGCCCTGGGGCCCCCACAGTGCCAGGGGCCCTGAAGGAGAAAGCAAGAAGGGCGCGCTGAGGGTTCTAATTCAAGGAGGGAGCCCTTTGCTACAGGAACAGGATAAACTGATGAGACCGAATGCTTTCGACTTCTTTGTGCCAGAGCATTGCTTTCTTTGCCTTGGTGTTGGGTCTGTTAGGGCAGGGGATTTTCAGAGACATGCCCCAAATCAACAAGGGAGCGGGAGGGAGTGGAGAAATCAAGGAAGACCCTTTCCAGGAGAAAGAAGAGGAATCTAAGGATATTTTCACCACCTGGATTTAAGGCAGGAATGGCAAATAGATTCATCTGTATGCGAATTCTGACCTGCCGGTGCTGGTTGCCCAGGACACTGTGCTGAGAAGGAAGCTGAAGCTGCATTTGGCTCATCAGGAAAGAGCTCTGACTGCTCAGGGATGCCTGGTGTAGGCACCGAAGTGGGAGTGATGTCATGGACACAGGCCACAGAACAGCAAAAGAGCAACGGCCTCCCCACATGGTTCTAGTGAGAAATAATTTTTCTTTATTCTTTCTTTCTTTTCTTTTTTTTTTTTTTGGTGAGGAAGACTGTCGCTGAGCTAACATCTGTGCCAATCTTCCTCTATTTTATGTGGGATGCTACCACAGCATGGGTTCATGAGCAGTGGTAGGTCTGTGCCTGGGATCTGAACCTGCAAACCCTAGGCCACCCAAGTGGAGCATGCAAACTTAAACACTACTCCACTGGGCCGGCCTGAGAAATAAAATTTAGAATAATGAAATCATCCTGGAAACCAGACTGTGGAAAAAGCATTTTATTTTGTTTTGTTTTGTTCTCCACGTGAAAATAAGGCTCAGAGAACACCCACCCCACCCGCTCTCAGTGCTGCCCCTCATCAGCCTGTGCCCGGTGCTCAGGGTGGGAGAGCTCCCACAGGCTCCCTCTCCCTCCGGAGACCTTTCAAGCACTGCGCCCTCCCTGCCTGACTTAAGCAGCTGGGAAAAAAGATGTGAGGCTGCTGGCCTTAGTTCCTCGCCTCACTTGCGTGGAGTGGACTCCTCTCTGGGCTGGCCATGTCTACAAGGGTCTAAACAGAGGGAAGAAGGAGGGTGGCTAGCCTCTTGGAGGACAGGCAGAAGCAGCTGACACAGAAGCCATCTGGAGAGGTTTTCAGAGCTTTTATTTGGAAACTTAGGGACAACGCCAGGTCTTCCGTGAATTCCCAGGAGTTGACAGCAGCCATGGGGGCAGGGTCTGTTTTGCCCTGCTTTCCACCAGGCGCCAGAGTGGATCTGAAACAGACAGTGACCGATCGATGGTCCTTCTGAGGCAGCAGCTCACCGACCCCAGCCGGCGGCGAGGAACAAAGGGCTCGCAGTTGGGAAAGAACGGGTTTCAAGGTCAGTGCGGACGGTGAGGGCCCACCTGGCATGGAGCCGTGTGGCGGGAGGCCTTCTTGCTTTTCAGTAAATTTGCTGCTGCGGGTTCTGGAGATGCCGCTGTCTGCAGCAACGTGCAGCAGCATGAGCCCTGGTCAGGTGGCACCAGCCCTGGTCAGGTGACAATGGCCCTGGGGAAAAAGGAGGAAGGGTAAGACTTTCATCTCACCAGCGTTATCAGTCAGCAAGATCTGGGGGTCAAATAACCCATTTGGAGAACATTTTTGTGAAGCAACAATTGGCAAAGCATCACTATGAGGACGGACTGGCGAAAGACTATGAGGTTGTCTGGGGTTATTTGGAAATGTTCAAAAAAGGTATTATAGGAAGAATGTATCTTCTTTCCTGAAAAGGAATTTTCCTGAAGTTCAAAGTAGGCCGGTGAGGTTTGAATGCCATGGCAGAGAGCAGACCAGCCTTATTCCCGGAAGGTTCTGGGGGCAGGGAATCCTGGTAAGCAGGTAGGGAGGGTGCAGTGGAATTCACGGGCCTCAGACAAGCCTAAGAGCTGACCACTGACCAGTGGTTGGGACCCCACTTCTACCACCACAGGGCATCTTGTGCGTAGGGTCTGATTCTGGTTTCTCCATGTGGACAGGTAAAGGTAACCACATCACAAAACCACCACCTCATGCGCTGTTCGCTGCTTTCGGATGGTCCTTGGGTCACTCGGATGTGTAACCTGGGAGATAGATAACTGAGTGGATGGATGAAAGAGAGTTTTCTTCCTTTGCAGGACCTCGTGGGAGCCAGGGGAGAGCGCTGTATCTGGTTGTTGGAAGGAGGCTGGAGCTGCTTGGAGTTGCGCTCTAGCCCCTGCAGGCACCTGGGAACAATTCCGTGCCATTCCCACCACCTGCGCCCGGGCCTCGGGACAGTCACCATCCCATCACTCCCTAGGAACTGTGGGGCTCCCCAGTTCTTCAGTAGACACCATCTCACTCTGTCTTCAGTCTAGACTAGGAGGGAGGCATTGGTTTCCATGACTTCAAAGGGTGGGTGTTATGCTGCCTAGAGCAGGACCTGCCCAGGGCCTCAGAGCTGCTTGGTAAATTCAAATCCAGGACTTGTTCAAGCGCCTTAGTGTTCTTGGGTTAGAGCAGGAAGCTGAATGCCTTGAGTGAAGCTTGCTCAAGATGAGGCTCCAGAAAAGTCTCTGGGAACCACCCCTCCTCCCAGCTGGGAGGTACCAGCCTCCCCCCATGTCCAGCAGAGGACAGGCAGACAGACATCTGCGTCCCTTGTACTTTCAGAAAGAAGAGCTTCCAACTGGGGTGGTCACTGCTCTGAAAAGCCAAATCCAGGACAATCAGGATTTGGCTTGCTAGAAAGTTCTTCCTTCCTCCTGAGGTAGCCAATCACCAGGGTGGTCACAAGTGGCCGGGTGTGACAGCTCAGGCAAGCGTCCAGCCACTGTGGGAGGTGCCAGGTCTTGGCAATAAAACCACCTTGTAGCTAAAGATTAATGACATGGGAAAATGATCCTGAACTATTGAATAGGAAGTGTGGATTATAAAACTATGTAAAGTAGGATCTCATTTCGGGGATACACATAAAAAACACGTGGAAGAATAATAACAAGGAATTGGGATTACAAGCACTTTTATTTTGTTCTTTCTGTTTATTTGTATTTCTTACTTTTTCTACAATAAAAATGCATTGATTTGATTATAGTATTTTTTTTTTTAAAGTCACTTTCCTCTGCTTGAAGTGGGGAGTGGCCGCTATCTGAGTGCGGCTTAAAGAATGAGACAACTTCTCTTCCCCGCCCTGGATGTGCCCCCAATGCAGTGACTCTTCACCCAGGATGTTTAATTATGCAGAATGCATTGCTACCCTCTTCCTTTTATAAGAGAGGGCAAGAAGCCAGGAAAGCAGTGAATGTGGGTGCCTTACTAAAAAGCTTAAAGCATTTTACTTAAAGCCAGTGTCTGGGGCCTGTCCTGGGCTCTCTCCAGTCAGCCTGATCCAGCATGCCCTCCTTGGCCTGGGGTCTGGCCACATGCAAGCATCCTAGCAGTGGGGGGCTCTGCTGCCCCAGGGGAGGCAGCAGGGGTGTTTGCTAGACCTTCCTGACCAAGACCACCCTTCCTGGGAGAATTTGCAGTCATCAAGGCCGAGGCCAATGGTTTCTTTAATAGACTAGAAAATTCAGTGACTCGCCTCACTTTGTCCTCTGAGTTCTGTGGGTAACTAGTTTGGGGCCAGAAAAGGAGAAAGAAAGGAGGAAAAGAAGAGGAGGAATGGAGGGGTTTTTCAGGTCGATCATCCATTCACTCAGTGATGTTTCTGAGTGGTCATTTGTGTGCCAGGCTCTGTGCGAGGCACTGCAATACAGAGGTAAAAAATAGTCACAGCTCTTCTGCAATTTGCACACTGGCTGGGGAGTGAGGAGAGTCATCAGGCAGTTCTGATGCAGGGGGTGTGGTAGGGGCTGAGCAGGGGCTGTGGGAGGGAGCCTACAGCAGGTGCAGCTCCTCCCAGCTGAGGCATCAGGGCAGGCTACCTGGAGGAGGAGACTTTTAGATCCAGGCCTAGATGAGAAAGAGGAGTTGATGAAGCCAAGGATGGCGGTGGGGGGTAGGTGTGAGAAAGAGATGTCAGGCTGGGACAGCATGTGAAAAGACCCAGCGATGAGAGTGAGGATGGCATGTTTAGGCTGGTGGTGAGGATGAAGCTGTTAAGGATTGATGCTTTCCCTAGAGGGCAATGGGGAGCCATTGAGGGCATCTGAGCAAAGGAGTCACTTGCTCAGCCTTCTGTTTTTAGATCCCTCAGGCTGCTGTGATCTTTCTGCAATGGGAAAAGGAGGGGACACGGGAGGCAGGAATGGGGCAGAGGCTATCCTCTAGGGCTTTGGGAGCCTGTTGGTGGCTCTCAGACTCAGGCTCTGAGTTCAGCAGGGAGGTAGGGAGATGGTGCCCACATGACAGGCATGGGCATCCTGGGCTGAGTCCTCACTCCTGAGCCCGGGATATTGAATTTGTACAGTGAAGCTAAACTCACTTCTCTCCAAGGGCTGTGGAAGCTGCTGGATGGGAAATGACAGGGCAGCTCACTATAAACAGGTCTGTGTGCCGACTTCAGTTACTGAGCACCGAGCTCTCCATCAGTCATAAGCGGCCATTTCTGAAGAGCTTTTTGATGATTAGAAGGGTGGCAATACCAGCTCCAGATTTAACCCAGATTAAATAGGAAACAAATGACAGAAGGACATTTCAGAAGCCTACAGCATTTTCATGGCAGAGAAGAGTTTCAAGCTCTGGAAGGTACAACTGGCTGGGAAGGAAGCCCACTGACCTGGTGCTCAGGGGCCGGTCACCACGTGGTCCCCGCGGATTGCCTGCAGCGAGAGCTCGTACCCAAGGAACATGGCCGCGCTCATGGGGAAGCCCCGCACAGCGTTCACGGTGATGCCTCTGAAAAACACCTTTGGCAGGAGGTAGTGTTATCATGGGGGACTGCCCTGAACCTCCTGCAGGGCCACCATGAGGGGCAGAGAAAGGGCTGGTGGTGCTGCCCACTCAGGCCCCCCTCCCAGGCTGGACCACACAGAGCTCCAAGGACCCATGCAGACAGAGACCACCCGGGATGCCCCAGCCAGGTGCCTGACCTGACCCATGTCACGTCTGATGACGCTTTTCCTCCCAGGCCCCAGTACATAGGCACTAAACACTATGGGCAAACTGTTGAGTCCTATGAATACCCATGTACACTTGCTTAACTCCTGTTCTCTCATGAACACACACATACGCATACCCGCAGGCACATGCATACACATACACACACATGCCCAATTCTCAAGAAGCTTGAAGTCAGAGCTCTGCACTCCACTCAGTTTGCAGTGGGGGCAGGGGGGGGAGGGAACAGGGCACCCAGCCATGACCAACCCCTATGACAGATGCTTCACAGCATGTCCCCAAAGGGGCAGAGTCAGGGGGAACTCAGGCCATGCTTAAGACTGCAGACACGCAGTTGAGGCACAGCTTTGCCATTTAGTAGCTGTGTTCCTTGAGCAAGTGGCAAAGTCTCTGGAACTCATCTCCCCAACAGTAAAATGGGGGTAATAATACCAGTGACCTGCTATGGTTGTTGAGGGAAGAAATAAGATGATGCTTTTAAAGCACTGACACAGTGCCTGCCATGCAGTAAGCACTCATTAACTGTTGATATCACATCAGCATCCTTATCATCCACCGTCAGCGCTTTCTATAGAGTGGCACTCAGCCTCCATCATTAGTGCGAGTGCTGAGGAGTAGCAGCCTGTGTTGATGAGCTACTAAACTCAGCCCTTCATACAAGAAGACTGCATTTGCCTTCCATCCCTAGGGAATAGGATAAGATGCTTCCCTTCCTCCCCGAAACTTCCCTCTGGGTGCTGGGCAGACACTGATCAATGTGATGTGGCTCGAGCCCTTGGGAAGTTTATAAACTACTAGGGGAGATTAGCCCCATTCAGGAATAGTTACAATGTAACCTAGAACATGACAGAACAGATAAGGGCTTTGGTGAGCTGTCCTTAAATGTCTTCTCTGGGAAGAGATACATCTAAAGGCAAATGCCTACCCAAGCATAAATGACCTGAGAACTATCAGGCAAGAGATGTACACATGTTCTCTGACTCTCATGTAATTTACTACATTTACGAAATAGAACTGACACTGTAATTTTATGAAAGTAGAAATCCAGCCCTTTGCATTTCCCCAATTTCCTTGGTTGTTGGGCACTGTGGTGCAAGGGTAGGTGCAGGCCACTGTCATTGGCCAGGATGTCAGGTGACCTTCCTTCAGGAGAGGAACCTGCACCTTGGCACTCCATGGAGCCTGGGAGATGCAGCTTGGTCAGGAAGGGGAGACAAGGGCCTTGGTGGACTTGAGGGGAAACCTTGGCCCCAGGGAAGAGAGCTGACAGACCAGGATCCCCAGAGGCGAGTGAGTGGCTCAGCCAGATTCTGGAATGATCCAGGCAGAGGGCAGGTGGATCCTGGTAACAACTGCACACCTCCATAATGTCTAACCTTTCTGGAATTCCACAGGCTCACCCAGAGTGACTGAATAATGTCAAGGAACTGGGTCAGGCTCTGAGGGGAAAATTCCATGCTGGGTGCCCACAGAGGCTCCCCTGTGGACCTGGGCTTGGCTCTGCGAAGCGAGGTGAGCCAGGCAGGACCGAGCCTGGAATGTGAACCTCCTCTCCCACAGTGCTGGGCCCTGCAGAAGCTGGGGGACACTTCAGACAGACAGCTGTGACCTCCCTGCAGCAGCTGTGGTCGACTCTGCTGTGAGGCCCCGAGATGGCAATGCGCAGACCTGCCAGCTTTTACTCCGAACATTCAGAACACCAAACCACCAGACTGAGTCTTTTCTCAGGAAGCCTCCATGGCTCTCCACTGCCCAGGTCAAGTCCACACCCTTCCCTGGCCTGCCCAAACCCATATGCTCTGGACGAACACTTTCTCTGGGGAGGCTCTGACACTGACACTCTGGGCAGGCTCTGACACTGACACTCTGGGCAGGCTAATGGCCTATCATTCCTCTAAGGGGCCAGCTCTCTCCCCTACCTGGGCCTCTTCTGGGCCCCTTTGCTGGAGTGCTTCCCAGACCTGGCTGCACCTTCTGGCAGTCCTCCCATGGGACCTCGAGCTGAATTGTGGCCCATTGCCTTCTGTGGACTCGGTATCTCTGCCATCACAGCGCTTCTCACATCGTCTTCCAATCACCGTAACTGTCTGTCTGCCCAGTAATGATCCTGGTCAGGGTGGTGAGAGCATGGCTGTGTGCACGGTTCACCTCTGAATCCACTGCACCTGCACTGTGCTTGGGCCAAAGGACCCTCTGTACAGCTTATTGAATGAATCAATGGATGAGTGAATGAATGAATGAACAAACACACTCCCTGATGTGAAAAAGGAACCATCTCTGAGCTGAAAGAGTCCTGGTGGCGGCTGCGGCAGTGGAGGATTCCTGGAGTAGATGGAGGGCTCCAGACCCTCCAAGCGGCAGAACCAAAGAGCAACTGACCCTGATGCCTCAGGAAGCCTGTCCACCTACACATGTTCCTCTCCACTCTCCTTCGAGTCACCCAGTCTCATCCCAAACCCCTTTGCAACAGCCACCTCTGAGGGGCTAAAGGACACGAAGGCACTCCTCCAGCCCCTTATTTCAGATGATAACTCTCCAAGCATGAGCCAGGGCCCATGTGGCCCAAGACGATCCTCACAGCAGACAGAGAATGGATCCCAAACTTCCAGGCCTTTCTTCTCTTCTGACTTGGGATTGCCCCTGAAGTCCACGGACTTTAATTCCTGCTATCATAAAGGCTGCTTGATTGGTAATCATTAAGGGACTTACAAAAGGGCTATGGAAATTGGGCACCATCATCATTTCACTCCTTTCCAATTCTTTATTATCACCAAGTTCTTCTTCCATAGGAAAGTGGGAACAGGTGGGCTCAGGGCTTTGTACGCTGCCTCAGTGAGCTGAGTAAAAAGGTTTGGGAAGGGCATGCCATAGAGCCAGTGCGCAAGCCAGCTGGGACTGGAGCCATCCCTCGGCCCTGGGAAAAGGCATTCCTCCTGCTACTTCTGGGACTCTGTGAGACCACCCAACTTTCCAGGACTGTGTGAGACTGTTTTTCATGTTACTATTTATGCAAACATATATAAATATACCCACATGTATATGCCTGCACAGGCTATGAATATTTTTGGAACATACCATAAGAAGCTCATAACGGCAATTGTCTTTGAGAGCAAACTGGGGACACAGGAGGGACATTTAAACAGTTTATCCTCTTACACATTTTGAAGATTCCTATGTTCATATATCATTGATTTTTTTCAATGAACTAATAAAAAATCTCAGTCAATGCAGTAGCTAATCAAGCTGAATATTGCTACCTCTACTTAAAACCTGTCTCTAAATATAAACTATGGACCAAATGATATCAAGATTAAGATATTGATTATCTGGCCTCAGTTGCATTCAAGGACTTTGTTTTTTAAAGAGGACAATAATTTTTGGAGAAAATAGTGTCAGTGATATATTTGGCCCCTACAGACTTTTTAGAATTAGGACACATTAATATTTTGGGAAACAGACGAAAATATTCAAATAAAAACAGAGCATTCTATTTGAATCTCTCTTATGTGTCCCTCTGTATTTATTGGTTGAATCACAAATTCTGCTTCTGCTAAAGAAAAAAACTACAAAAGACAACCGAGGTGAGGATTCTGGGAAGATGGCAGAGTAGGAAGCACCAGGAATCTCTCTCCCCACCTACACAACAATTGCACTGGCGGAGTCTGTTTGATGTAACTATTTTGGAATTCTGGAGTTTATTGAAGGCTTGCAACTTCCAGGGGAAAGTTTGGACAGTAAATTGTGATTAATTTCAGTCAATTTCTGCTCTTAGCACAGTAGTAGCTACCCATTCCCCACTCCAAGCCCTATGGCAGGCAGCCATGCACGTGTTCCTGGAGCAGCCTGCACAGAGCTGATGGGAGCCAGGGTAGGCAATAACGACTCTCCTCCAAATACTGGAGATCTGTATTCTGATCACTGATTGCTGCTTCTGATCACAGAGGTGCAAAGAGGAGGGCGGCCAATGTTGTTTCTTCTCCCCACATTGATCCAGGCCCCTCTGCCTCTGGCTGAAGTAACTTACAGGGGATTTAAAGGGCTGATTCCCCCTCCCCACCATTAATTTTTCTCTTTTTCCCCTTTTGGGAGTCAGACATTAAAGACCAGAACGTTCAAAAGCAACTACACTTTTGGGGAAAACTAGAAAGTGACCATGAATGCTCAGAGAAAGGTGTAGCCTTAGAAAAGACCTGAGAAGACCTAAGTTTACCCCTCAGGCTGATCCTTGGCACAGAGACAGCCTACAACAATTAAAAAATAAATAAATAAAAACAATAACAAAAAACACTAAACCCTGGGAAAAGGAGAGAATCTGATTTCCAGAGTCACCACATTATTCGATTCAAATGTCTAGTTTTCAACCAAAAACCACAAAGCATGCAAACAAACAGGGAAGTATGGTCCATTCAAAGAAAAAATAAGTAATAGAAACTGTCCCTGAAAAAGATAGCGAATAGCGAATCTACTTGACAAAGACTTTAAAACCATCTTAAAGATGCTTGAACTAAAGGAAGAGGTGGAGAGAGTCAAGGAAATGATATGTGAACAAAATGGAACTATCAATAAAGAAATATAAAACCCAGAAAGAAATTAAACAAATTCCAGAGCTGAAAAGTACAATAAATGAAATGAAAAAAATTCCCTAGAAGGATTCAAAGGCATGTATGAGCAGGCAGAAGAAAGAATCAACAAACCTGAAGATAGCACAATGGAAATTATTAAGTCTGAGGAACAGAAAGAAAAAGGATTGAAGCAAAGTAAACAGAATCCAAGGGACCTGCAGGAAACTATCAAGTTGACCAACACACATTGTGGGAGTCTCATAAGGAGAAGAAAGGGGCAGAGAGAATATTTGAAGCCATAATGGCTGAAAACTTCCCAAATTTGATGAAAGGCATAAATATAAATATAAAATAAGCTTGACAAACTCCCAGTAAGATGAATCAAAGAGACCCACACCAAGACACATTATAATAAACTTCTGAAAGACAAAGACAGAGAGAATCTTGAAAGCAGCAAGAGAGAAGCAACTCACTACATATAAAAGATACTCAATAAGATTATCAGCAGATTACTCATCAAAAACTTTAGAGGCCAGGAGGCAATGAGCCAATATATTCAAAGTGCTACACGAAACAACTATCAACCAAGAATCCTATATCCAGCGAAACTATCCTTCAAGAATGAGGGAGAAATCAAGACAGTCCCAGATAAACAAAAGCTGAGGGAGTTCATTACCTCTAGACTTTCCCTGCAAGAAAGGCTCCAGGGAGTCCTGCAGTGTGAAATGAGATGACACTAGACAATAACTTGAAGCTGTATGAAGAATAAAGATCTAAATAAAGGTAGATACATGGGGAGAATGACGTCAGCATCATGGCAGCACAAGACACCCCTCATTTTGTCTCCACCTCAACAACAAAAATTTGGCATCCATCCACGGACAAAAGTTCCTCTATAGGAGTTGTGGGATCCAGCACCACATACTAAGGGACCCAAGTGGATTCTCTCCCACCTGTGCATTGGGTAACAGGCAGACAGACTCAGTATTGGTGGTGGATCCTGCCAATATGGTAATCAGTATTGGCCTGTGAACTGGCTCCAGCCTCTCCTGACCACGGTCCAGAAGCACCTGCAGAATGCTGACCTGGGCACTCACCCACAGATGAGACAGCCTTTATGGAAGTCCAAGCTTCCAGAGGAAAAGTTCCAGCACTCCACTGGAGCAAAAAATACAAGTTTGGATGCACTGGAGTGGGCAGTTCACAAAGATTGGAGGGCTTGGGATGAGGCAGCCATGTGAGAAAAGGCCCAGAGCTCAGCAGTAACATTAATACTAATAAAACTACTCATACTAATACCAGTGCTAATGGCAAATGGCAAACTCTTGCTAAATGTTCTCTATGTGTGATGCACTAAGCCAAGCACTTTTTATACAACAAATTTAACTTAACCTACAGATACCGGTGTCATTCATGGTAGGGATGATTATCCTTGGAGAAATCGAGGCCCAGAGAGTTGAAGCAACTTGCCTGGATTCTCCCAGCTCATAAGTAGCCAGGCCTGGCTTTCAACTCAAGTCTGCTGATTCTAAGAAGCATGCCGAGAAAGCCAGGGTCCCATTCGAGGAAGAGCAAGCATGATGGTTTCTCTGGAGGGTGCTAGGGGGTGTCCTGGGAGGCAAGATAGACAGGGATAAATTCGTCTATAACCTTGGACGCCAGAGGTGGAAATCTAGTCTTCACTCTCAGACAGTTTAGAGGCAGGAAGGGGCTTGGATTAAGAACAAGCCCTTCAGGTGCATGGAGGAGAAAAGAAGAGAAGAGGACAAGGCCAGGGTGGAGGCTGTCTCAGTTGCTGAGACCAGGAGTGATAGTCTGGACTCGCGTAGGGTGGGAGAGTAGAAGGTAGGTGGACTTGTGAGATGTGATGACTGATGTGGTTCTGGCACCTACTATTTGGAGGAGGGGTGAGGGTGAGGCACGAGCCGTGAGTGAGGAAGGACCTCCAGCCTATCTGGATGAGAAGGCAAGCTTTGGTGACACATAGATGTGGGTCCAGGTCCCGGCTCTGTCACGCACCAGCTGTGTGACCTCGGGTGGGTTACCAATCCTCTCTGAAGCTCTGTCAGGTGGGGCGCACACCCACCTCCTCCACCAGTCCAGGGCAAGGATGAGAAGGGACAAGGCCCTCTCGTCATGCTTGATAAATGGTAACCACCAGCACCTTGGTTTCCTGATTCCCTTCTCTACAATCTCACATACCCCAAAATGTCTGACCCACCTTCCAGGGACTGACACTGACCCCGCGTGACTGCTGTGGGGCTTACTTTAAGACCTTCCTTCTGGTAACTCTGGGCGATACAGTCCAGGACACCTTTGTATTTGTTTAAATAAACCCCGTCAGCTTGGAGTCGACTTTTCACAACATCCATAGGAGTCGCTGTCCCCCAAGAAATTGCTCCTGTAAAGAGAGAGACAAACAGGTGTCAGGGGCTGGCTGGGTGGGGTCTGGAGGGGCCCAGCTCCCTGCAGACTTTTGCCATTCAGAGGCTTAATAAGGTGCTGGTGGAAGTGGAAAGAGCTCCGGGTCAGGACCTGTGACAGCTGCTTCTGATCCTCCTTTGCCACCCGCTGTGGGACTTTGCAGACATCTCCCCCTTCCTGTAGGCCTTGGGTTTGTCATCTGTAAAACGGGGCGGCAGGACCTATCGTCATGGGGTTGCTGTGAGGACAAATAAACTGATGCATGTGAAGCATTTAACACAGGGCCAGGGCCACAGCCAGGGCTTTGTAAGCAGAAGCCTTTATCAGCAGCTTTTATTGGAGATCAGGAACAGGGCCCACCAGCACACTGCAGCACTTTCCGGGCACCAGAAGAGAGAACCCAGAGTGAGGCCTGAGGCTGAAGGCTTGCAGCTCCCAGGAGCAGGATTTGCTCTGAACACGAAAAAGCTAAACAAACACCTGCAGATACGCTGCTCGCCAAGGCAGGGCCAGCCCAGAGAGTGCAAAGAAGAGCAGGGGCCGGTCTTGACAAATCTCTTATCTTTTCCAGATATGTGGAATCGAAGCCTTGGGATGATGTGCCGCTGGGTCAGCTTCATTGAATAAGCTCAGGGACCCTGGTTTGGGCCCCTTTGTGACTTTAAAGGACTAGGAAAACAATGTCGGGTTACTGAATAAACACAAAAATTGACACAGTCTTGGATGGGAGAGAAAAACAAACTGATGCCAAAGTCCAAGTCAGCTGGTTTTCGAGGTTTTGCAATTGCTGCCTAGAAGCTCCCCAAAGAGGCCTGAGCTTGCCCCAGGCCCTCTGCCCATCCTGGTCTCCAGCCCCCGTGGCCTCCCGCCCTTGGCCCTCTGGAACCCTCTGGTCCTCTCCTCCCTCCTGCCAGGATAATGGGCCACTCTCCCTGGAGGTGGTCCAGCTGCTGCCCTGGCACCCTCCCCTGTCCCTCAGCCCGTGGGTGAGAATATTACAAAATGAGGCTTGCCTGCCAGGCCGCTCACACCCGCTCTCACCAGAAACGAGAGCAGACAGGGTCCTGTTTGTCCTCTCAGCCAACACATACTCAGTGAGCACTTACTAGAAGCCGGCGGGGGCTACGCCTCAGACATGAGGGGGCGGAAGGAGAACACTGGTGTTTGGTGGCTAAGATGTGGGCTTTGTAATGTGTTTGCTGAGTTTCGAGCATAGCTAATTATGATGAGGAGGAAGATGAGGAAGGACAATTTTCTTCCCTCCAGAGGATCTCTGCCATCAGCATCAAACACGTCATGTTACTAGCCTTCTTAACAAGCAATCCTCCCGTGACTTCCACGTCCCCCTGTGGCTATGGCTGCATTTCCTTCTTCCCCATTACAGCCCAAATCCCCCAGATGTGTGGGGTATACTCGGGTTCTCTAATTTCCCTCATCCCATTCTCTCTTGATCCCCCTTCAATCAAGTTTTCACACCCTTCGCTCCATCAAAATCAGTTCTGTCAAAGTCCCCAGCGACTTACAGACTGCTAATCCAAGCAACAGAATAGCAAGCACAAAGGTTCTGTGGTGGGAGAGAGCCAGGCATCAAGATGCAGCAAAGAGACCAGTGTGGCTGGAGCAGAGCAAATAAGGGGACGGGAGCAGAAAATGAGGGCAGAGGGGTAAGAAGTGCCCGGATCATAGAGGGCCTTTAAAACCATGGCAAGGATGTTGACTTTTATGCTAAATGAAATAGGGATGTGGTACAGGGTTCTGAGTAAGGAGCTTAAGTAACTGGTTCATGGTCACAAAATGCTAAGTGTGGATTTGAACTTGGATCTTTCTGACGGTAGAATCCCTGCTATATGGTCTACACTAGCTGTGTGAACTGAGTTGGTTACTTAATCTCTCTGAACCTGAGTTTTCTCATGGGAAAAATGGAGAGACTGCTTCCTACCTTATGGAACTAATGAAATCTTCACATTAGAAAGGTTTGCAGGGTGCTGATATTCCAAAAAAGTGAACCATGATAACAGATTTCCTTTTCAAAACTTAGTAATGCCTGATGGAGTAAATGCTCAGACTCTATCTCTGACTGAAAGTCGGATGAGCCCATCCCCACAGGTGCAGAGGGAAGGGGAAGGGAGGAAGAGGGGGGCCATCCCCCATTCCTAGCCCTTCCTCTGCCTGGCTGAGTCACACGGTAGGTACTGAACAGAGAACTGTTGGAAGAGTGGCTGGATGAACCTGCTCTTCCTCGGGGCTGAGAAGGGAAAGGTGGGCTCCTCAGCCGTTCCACTGCAGTGGCCGGCACAGGGACAGGATCAGGGCTGCTGCCTTACCTGCCATGCCCCCTGCCAGCCACACGGCACAGGGGCTGGGGGCTGCACAGGCCTCAGGGGTGATCCATTCACTCAGCAACACATAGGGGATGAAGTAGAGGCAATAGCCTGGGACGTCCCTCAGCAGCATGGCACTGGCACCCCGGTACAGCCCCGCCAGGCCCTCAGTTCGCACGATGGTTGTGATGCAATGCACAGGCCCCTGGTAGGCTGGCTGCTCTCCAAGAGCCACCGCCCTGGGCTTCAGACTGAGGTTGCCTGCAAAGACAGCAGGGGGAAGATGACTCAGGGGCAAGAGACTAGCCATTCTCTGGCACTGGAGCCAGCCTGGTCCATTGACAGTTCCCACTCACGCGGTCCATCAGTTTTCACCAAACTTTCTGACCTTCTTGGCAGCTCAAACCATTCTGACGTCCCAACAGGGAGCCCCTGCCAACAGTGCAGCCAGATTGGAGACAATCCCAGCCAGGTGATAAAGTATCAGCTGTCTTAGAATGCCTGGAGGTTTCCGGTCAACCGTCACCATGTCTTTCTAAGCAGATATGACTGTAGAAAGCCTAGGGTCAAGTATGGCAGGCCATACCAAGGTCTTTCTTGATACAAAGGCTAGAAAATCCAACACACTATGTGTGTGTGGGTGTCTACTTGTGCACGGTGTGGTAAAAAAAAAGTATATGAGCTTTAGACCCAGACTGTCCTAGTTCCAAATCCTGGCTCCACCACTTACGAACCTTTCGATCTTGCTGGGCCATCTTCTTCAGCTTTTGTTTCCTTATCTTTAGAAAGAGGCCAACACTGTACTCTACACTTGCGAGTTGCTAAAAGAATAGATCTTAAAAGTTCTCACCACACACACACAACGTGGTAACTGTAGGTGCTGGATGTGTTAATCCATCTATCGCGGTAATCATTTCACAATAGACATGTACATCAAATCATCAAGTTGTACATGTTAAATTTACACAGTGTTATATGTCAATTATATCTCAATAAAGCTGGAAAAATCTTTTATTAAATAAAAAGGAGAACAAGCTGTTGTGAGGATGAATGAAGTAATACTATAAAGTTCTCAGTACGGTGCTAGGGACAATGGAGGTGCAAGAAGTTATCAAGAGATTAGTAGGAAGATGAGGTGACTGGCATGAGTTGGGAGCAGGACACACTGGCTGGAGGGCTGCATATGTTCTCACTGACTCCCTCCAGCCCTGGCCAGGCTGTGCCCTGAAACAGCTGCAGGCAGCACTGGTGCCATCGGTCCCTCAAAGTCCAGGGGCACAAGGCTGCTGTCTCCTAGCCTGACCTCCAAGGTCTCTGCCAGCAGATCGTGGGTTATTATGTCTGTAGCTTCCTCTAGGGTTGTATGCAGCCAGCAAGCGGTGACTCTCTCTCCCCCACATAATCCCTTCCACCTGGCTCCCCCGTCTCCCTCTCTGCTGCTCACCTCCTCTACCACAGACCCATTAGCACAGCTTTGACTCCTGGCCAGAGAGACCTCCCAGTCCTAGCTCAGAAAAAGCACCTCTTACTCTCAACTTTCCCTTCTTGAAGAACAAACATGACGTGACCAGGAAAGAAATAGAATGAAGCTTGCCTGTAACCGCACACCTATTTTTCTGCGTGGGTCTAATTCCCTATTGGCAGTGCCTCAGTTTGGTCTTGCGCATGCTGGCGCAGAAGCAGACCACTTTCATTATACAGCTGAACTTCTAAGTCCCCCAAATAGGTCCATCTTTATCTGATGAAAGGTTAGGACAAAATCTTCAGCTTCAGGACTCCACAGTCCAAACTGGAGATTCGGAAGTCAAGAACAACCCGTCCTGTCACTCATCCCAGAAGCCGCTGAGGTCGAGGGGGTGGTTTCTAGCGGCCTGGGAAGTGTGCTTGAGCAAACTAATCTTACATTTTCTTTTTGTGTTGGAGGAAGAGAGTAATCACTGCCATGCACGTTAGGACACGGGGCAGGAGGCCGAGTCCCATTCACTTCTATGTGGATCCCAGAGGAAGCGAGCAGAGGTGGTGGCCACTTTGTGGGGACAGGGTCCTCTGAGCTCAGAGCAACATCAGACACTGTGGTCTTTGATAGTCCACTGAGAGGTCACTGACATCCCTTCCTCTCCCAAATCCACTATGATACTATGGGGATCATCTTGGGGAATTGTGGCCTTAGATAAAATAGATGTAGTTGTCCCAACCTATAAACTCTGCCTGGGCCATGCTCATATCTAGTGATCTGACCCAGGAGTCAAGGTTTTCATGAATCATCGATGGGTATGATATGGCTTTCAAAAGTTACTGATTGAAGGAGAATGTCCTGATAACATTCTGCTGGTTTGGAGGTACAGATGTCAAAAAAATACGTGACCAACCTCCAATTGGCCTTGTCAACAAAAAACCTGTACTTTTCCCCTTTTCTTTCCAGAGTGAGCAATAAGGAAATTCTCTCACATTCTCTCAGGTTTGTAACATAAGCAATCTAGCTTTTATTGCTTGAGACTGAGCCATTTATGACCACTAAAGTAATATAATTGTCATGGTAACTGCTATCATCTGGAATACACATGTATCTGAACTGATGGCTAGTACCTTCTTGACACAAGCTGATACTGTGAAAAACAATATCCAGCCTCCTCATCCCCAATGTTTAAAAACAAACCTTTATTTGGAAATAATTTCAAACTTGCCAAAAAGGTGCAAAAAAGAAAAACTGTACAAAGAACATCCTTATCTACACTTCACCCAGATTCACCTATTGTTAACATTTTACCTTGTTTGTTTTATGGTTTGTGCGCTCTCTCTCTCCCTCCCCCACCTCCCTTCTGGCTCAAACACATGCGTGCAATTAAACTGATCAGATGCCATTGTCCCAGTGCATAAACTCCGCCTGGGCCATGTTCATCTCCAAGTAACATTGACCTGACCTGGAGTCCAGGTTTGCATGAATCAGCTATGGGCATGGTGCGGCTCTCAGGAGTCACTAACGGGAGAACAGCATCTGATATAATCCTCCTTGTACGCAGGTGCCAGTGTTGGAAGAATGCTTGCCAAACCTTGAACCGGCCTTGTCAACAAGACCCAAACCAGACCCAAACCTGTACTTTTTCTCTTTTTTTTCCCCAAGGTAAGCAATAAGGAAATTCTTTTGCACACACATACATTTTTTTTTCACACAGACATATATAAATTTATTTTCTGAACCATTTCAGGGTGAGTTACATACAAAATGGCCCCTTACCCCTAAATACTTCAAGATGTGTTTCCGAAGAACAGGGATATTGTCTTACATTCCACAGCACAGTTATCAGTTTCATCATCTACGCGGACAATACTTTTATTTAATGTACTGTCTGTGCTCAAATTGTCGTTTGACCCATAATGCCCTGTAGAGCATCCCCCGTCCCCAGTACAGGATCCAGTGGAATGCAGGATTGCATTTAGTTGTCCCGTCCCCTTTGCTTCCTTTACTCTGGAGCATTTCCACAGCCTCTCTTTGTTTTTTATGACACTGACATTTTTTTAAGAGTACACTGCCCCCTTCTTGTTAAGAGAACTTTTCTCACTTGGGGTTTGTTGATTTTCCTTGTTATTACATAGACATGATGCATTCTTGGCTGGACCGCCCCCTCATTCTCACCTCTTTTCCCATGAAGACCAATCACCGTTCAGAGCCTCTGGTCTTCTCCTTCTCTGGCTTCCTATACCTGTTTTTATTAGTTTGTTTTTTAATTGAGGCATAATTCACATTCAATAAAAGGTGTGGCTCGTAAGCACACAGTTGATGAGTTTTGACAATTCCATGCACCTGTGTCACTACACCCTCCTGAGAAAATGACATCTTATACTTGAAACAAACTGTTTTGGTCACAGCCCGATTACGCATAGCAGAGATTCCAAGCCTACCTACCCCCTCCTGCTTTTCATGGTAAAAGAACTCTGTGACATCAAGGATGTTCCTGACGTAATGAGGAGCAAATCCTTCATTAGGTGATAGCTGGTACGGGTCTATCTGCATTAGCAATAGTGGTAAGGACAATTCACACGGGACCACAAAGCAAATAGTAGGAATTCCTATCAGTTGCTCAGACCACGAGATGCTCTGTGGGGACATTGTGGCCCTGGGAGGTGTGGCCTGGGAGCCTCAGTGGCTAGACTTAGAAAAGCACTGAATCCGAGCTCTTGGTAATCTAGCAGTGGACCAATTTTAGTTTGTGGAAAACAAATTTCGGCGACCCTTCAAAACTGACTTGGGAGGTTGCTGGCAAGCAGCTCTAGGAAATATGCACAAGCGAAGTGTGCAGATGGCGTGCGCTTTGTGCAAGGCACCTGGGAGGGAAGCCAGGCCCTGGGTCGGCACTCTGCTCACACTGAACCACCAGCTCTCAGCCTGTTGTTCCTGAACCTTCCAGACTTGGGCTTGGGGGAGCACACATGCGTGTGAAGGGACTCACATTAGGTATATTTTCTTCTAGGGTGAAATGTATTTAGTTTCTCCAATTAAAATTTTTTGTTCTAAAACAAGGACAAAATGACGATCAAACTTTGACCATTTCTTATCACGAGTGCTTTGCCATTGAGGCATTTTCTGCTGGGCTCTCTAATCCAGAGCCGATTACCTTTCACTAGGCTAGGGATGAATTATCTACCGCAAACTCGGGATGCCTGTGGTTTCCTTTGTTTTTCCAGATTCAGTTAGGATCAACTCAACGCCCCACACCAAGAGAAGCAGGATGTTCAGAGTCAATGACGTTGAAGCCCAGCCAGCTCCTGATCTTCCCTTAGCAGTGGAGGAGGGCTACACAGTTCTTTTTAGACCCCCTTCTCCCGACCCCCCGCCTCGTCCAACTCAGTCCACTCCTTAGACCACATGCTCTGACTATCTGGCTCCACTGCCCTGCACTGGCGGCCAGTGCCTTGCTTGCCTCCTTCCTGGGCCAGGAGGTCCCTTTGAAGGCGGGTGCCTCTGCAGGAGATCCCACAGGGGGCAGGGACTTCCAGGTTTGGCCAGTCCTAACAGGTACCCATGCAGCACCTCTAGGGGGGGTGGTCCTCCCACCTCAGAGGGGCTGAGCTGGCCCAGACACAGGCTGGGGTCCCCACAGATCTGCCACTATTGCCTGTCTTCTCAGAACCAAGGGCCCTAGCCACAGCAAGCCACTGTGCGCTTTTCAGATACAAACACGATGAAGTTTCATTTCTTTCTCTTTCTCAGAAAATGTCCTTCAATGACTTCAACGGGCCGTGACTGTGGAAACAGGAAAGCC